ATGCTCCTAGAAGTCTTAATTGTGTTTATTTTTAAAAAAACTGTTAGACTTGTGTGCATGGAAGTAATTAAGGTACATCATTATTGTAGTTTAAAAGTTGTACATGATAAGACATTTTGTTTTTACTGTATGTTTTTACTGAATGATCTATTCCCCATCCCAAGGCAAGCATGAATAAAATTAGGTTAAATGTAGCATGTGGCATCACAGTCTCTTAGAATTTGTTTCATCTATTTTATTTTATTGAATATGTCTGTATCTTTGGTTTATCCTGTTTGAAGAAAAAAAAATAAAATATGGCCAGCAAAAAAAAAAAAAAAAAAAAAAAAAAAAAAAAAAAAAAAAAGTCAACAAAATAGAACTACTGTAACAAGATTTCTTTGTGTAACTCATTAGCTCAAAGAGAAAAAAAAATATGAAAATATATTAATCAAATCTAAAAACAAGTCCTTTTCCCATACATTTTTTAAGTATTTTCGATAATCTCATTATAGAATCTTAGCATAATTCTTAATACATAAATTAACAGTTTTATAAACATTTAAAATTTGGCCTGGATTCAAACAACAAATATTTAGTAAGATATCTATGGTAAGCAGAGTACTATGCTATACAAACGGGGTATATTACACCCACAAAAGGAGACAGTCTCTGTCCTCAATGGAAATTCCTATGGCAGGGACATTAAGTAGTACCGTGTTTCCCCCAAAATAAGACCTATCCATAAAATAAGCCCTACCAGGATTTCTAAGCATTGGCGCAAGATAAGCCTTACCCTGAAAATAAGACCTAGTGATGGGCGTGGCTACGCAGCATATCTGCACAACCCATGCATTTCATCGTGGAGTGGTAAAGACAACAAGCAGCCCTTCTCATCTGCCCCATCACGACAGCTACTATCCCAAGGGTGACCAGAAAGGTGCGGGCAGCGCCACCAACAAGGTCAGCTCCCCCATCAGGTACCAGCCATCCTATGCGTGCTGCAAGCTGAAGCTTTGAGGGGAAAATAACACATCCCCTGAAAAAATAAGCCCTCGGGTGTCTTCTTGAGGAAAAATAAATATAAGACTCTGTCTTATTTTTGGGGAAACATGGCAAACATTGAGTGTAAAGAGAGAGGACATACTGGATGTTGTGGGATGGTACAACACAGACCTAACTTTTCTAGGGTCTTCAGGAAAATAACCCTAAAAAAGTCAGATTTCTTTCCTGACAGAAATATCCTCTTTCCTGACAGAAATCTCTTTTTCTTAACAGAAATCTCTCTTTTCTGACAGAAATCTTTTTCTTAACAGAAATCTCATTCCTGACAGAAATCTTTTTCTTGACAGAAATCTCACTTTCTTGATGGAAATCTCCCTCTGACAGAAATCTACTCTTTTCTTACAGAAATCTTCTCTTTTCTAACAGATCTCTATCCTTTTGACAGAAATCTCCCTGTTTCTTGACAGAAATCTCTTTTCTGATGGAAATTTCCTGTTTTCTTGTTGCAGCAGTGTGCATAGCTAGCGTTACAGCTCTTGTCACAGCTCTTATTCATTTGACCAGGGAAAGAACCTAGTAGCACACGAAGAGTTTGAGAACAGCCTTTATTCTCCTACAGCAGGCTCAGCACACCTGGTGTTCCGGCTCTCTTTGCGTCTTTCAATCTTCTGACCCTTCTGCTCCCCCTTCCTTGTTCTCCTCCTGCTTTTATACCCTTGGTAGAGCTCAAAAAGTGTCCAATCAACAACAAGCTTTAACATCCAATCAAAGACAGTGGGATTGAAAAATTACCCAATCAGGATCACGCAAGCAGCGTGGAAACAGGCAGCAGCACCTGGGCCTGGGGGGATTCCGGCACACTGGGTCCCAGTGGCACACAGGGCCCTGGGCGGCTCTCTGCTGTGGGGCCTGGCCCCAGCAGCGTGCCCTCCAACTGGCCACGCGCAGCACTGGCCTGCGGAGATGCAGAGCAACGGGGAGGTGGCAAGCAGCCGAATCCTGGTGCCTATCATTTTATGTATCATTCTGACAGAAATCTGTCTCTTTCCTGACAAAAATCTTTTTCTTGACAGAAATCTGTCTTTCCTGAGAGAAATCTCTTTCCTGCAGAAATCTTTTCTTTCTTGACAGAAATCTCCTGTTTTCTGACAGAAATTTTTTTCCTGAGAGAAATCTCTCTCTTTCCTGCAGAAATCTCTTTCTTGACAGAATCTCCTCTTTCTGGACAGAAATCTCTATCTTCCTGACAGAAATCTCCTCTTTGCTCACAGAAATCTCTCTCATGACAGAAATATGTTCTCTCCTGAAATCTCTTTCCTGCCTGACAGAAATGTCCTCTTTCCTGACACAAATCTCTCTCTTTCCTGACAGACATGTCCTGCTTTTCTGACAGAAATCTCTCTCCTCCTGATGGAAATCTCCTTTTTCTTGACACAAATATCTTTCCTGACAGAAATCTTTCTCTCTCCTGACAGAAATCTCCTCTTTGCTTACAGAAATCTCTTTCCACACAGAAATCTCCTCTCTCCTGACAGAAATCTCTTCTCTCTGGACAGAGATCTCTCTCTTTCCCAACAGAAATGTCTTTCTTTCCTGACAGTAATCTCTACTCTCCTGACAGAAATCTCTCCTCTCCTGACAGAAATCTTTCTTTACTGACAGAAAACTCTTTCTTTCCTGACAGTAATCTCTCTCTTTTCTCACAGAAATTGCTCTCTTTTGTGACAGAAATCTCTTCTTTCTTGACAGAAATCTCTCTTTCCTCATATTAACCTATCTCTTTGCTGACAGAAATCTCCTTTCTCTGGACAGAAATCTCTTCTCTCTGGACAGAAATCTCTCTTTCCCGACAGAAATCTTTCTCTTTCTCGACAGAAATCTCCCTTTCCTGACAGAAATGTCTCTTTCCTTACAGAAATCTTTCTCTTTCCTGACAGCAATCTTTTTCTTTCTTGACAGAAATCTCTCTTTCCTGACAGTAATCTCCCTCTTTTCTGACAGAAATCTCCTCTTTTCTCACAGAAATCGTTTTCTTTTGTGACAGAAATCTCTCTTTCCTCATAGTAATCTATCTCTTTGCTGACAGAAATCTCTCTCTTGACAGAAATTTCCTCTCTCTGGACAGAAATCTCTTCTCTCCGGACAGAAATCTCTCTTTCCCGACACAAATCTTTCTCTTTCCTGACAGAAATGTCTTTCCTGACAGAAATCTTTCTTTCCCCTGACAGAAATCTCTCTTTCCTCATAGTAATCTATCTCTTTCCTGACAGAAATCTGTCTCTTTCCTGACAGTCATCGCCTCTCCTGACAGAGATCTCTCTTTCCTTACAGAAATCTCTCTTTCCCAACAGAAATGTTTCTCTATCCTGACAGAAATGTCTCTTTCCTGACAGAAATGTCTCTTTCCTCACAGAAATCTTTCTCTTTCCTGACAAAAACCTCCTACTTCCTGACAGAAATCTGTCTCTTTCCAGACAGATAGCTCCTGTTTCCTGACAGAAATCGGTCTCTTTCTTCACAGAAATCTGTGGTTTCTTGACAGAAATTTCCTCTTTCCTAACAGAAATCTCCTGCAGAGTAAAGAGCAGGTGTAGTAGAGAAAGTGAGTTTGAGCAAGCATTCTTGGGATTGCTAGAAGTCCATGTTAACAAGAGTAGAGAAAGCAAGGGCAAGAGTGGTGAAAGATTTGAGGATACAGTAGAAACCCAAGTCATGAAAGACCTGTTAAGCTATGTTAAGGATAATGGATTTCAACCTAAAGCTGGTGGTAGGTTATCAAAAACCTGTTAATTTAGAACCATAAATCTCTTTTGATATGTACTCATAACAATGGATTTTCCAATTTTAATCACATAATGGCAAAGCTGAAAGTCATTTCCATATATTTTTTAAAATAACAAATGTATATGGAAAGACTGCCTGAGATCAAATCCCAGTTTTACAGGTACTAGCTGTGTGCCTTTGCTGAAGTTTATTTAACATTTCCATGTCTCAAGTTCCTCTAAAAAAGGGGAATGATACTTCTTAATTTATGGTGTTTCTATAAGAATCAAACAGATGAAGTCCAACAGCGCCTGGCATATAAGTGTTCTGTAACTGTTAGCTATTATCATTATTACTGCCCTATTTACACCAAGTTCATGTTACAAATCTATAACTATTTAATATTAGGTTATTCATCTCTTAGTGGAGGTAAAAAGTTTATACTGGGGCATCCAGAAGCCTCTCCATGTTTATCCCTTTTGAAAATGGAAATATTTATAGTTAACCAAAGACAGGGTAGCCCCTGAGACTGTGTATAAACAAAAGCACCAGCAAGCAAAGGCATGGGCTCCATGGCCGGGCGCGGTGGCTCACGCCTGTAATCCTAGCACTCTGGGAGGCCGAGGCGGGCGGATTGCTCAAGGTCAGGAGTTCAAAACCAGCCTGAGCGAGACCCCGTCTCTACCATAAAAATAGAAAGAAATTAATTGGCCAACTAATATATATAATATAAAAATCAGCCGGGCATGGTGGCTCGTGCCTGTAGGTCAGCCACGGCACTCACTCTAGCCTAGGCAAGAAAGCGAGACTCTGTCTCAAAAAAAAAAAAAAAAAAAAAGGCATGGGCTCCAGTGAGCAGCGGCAGGTGCTCCTCTGTGCTCGCTCCCACAGAGCCCTGTGCAGACTCCTGTCCCATCACTTACCACACTTTAATAATCCTTTTAGGGACAATGACCTTCACTAGACTCTAAGTTACCAGAAAGCAGGGACTGTTTCTTAGTCATTTCTATAGTCACTGGGCTGAACAAAGTATTTCGTATAGAGTCAGCCTTCCATGAACATGGAATGTACGGACACAGAGTAGGAAACATAAGCAACACATTTGCTAGGAAAATTACTTACTATCAGCTAAAAACAAAGTTTTGGATCAACTAAATGAACTTTCCCATTATTCTTAAAGAAGAGTTTATGACAAAAGCTTTATGAACAAAAGACATTCTTCTATTACCTGTGCAGGTGCGGGACAGGACAGCTGAGTGACAAGGCCCTAGGAAGAACAGAAACCTCTTTTCCTCTTTCCTCTGAAACAGAAGTTAAAATTCTACTCTGGGTGATATGTGCATCAATTTTAGACATATTGCTAACTTTAGTATGAAAACGAAGAGCTAAAGACAAAGGATATTTCCATTCCTCTGGACAGGCTGCCACAGACCAGTGTTGCTTTATCCATGTATATACACATGTGTATTTTGTACCAGGTGAAGGCAGCTTTTCCTTCCCTTCAGTTCCATTTACATAACTCATCCTCTTTAAAGGTTCTTTGGATTTCATGATGTGGCAATAGAGTTCATTTTCTTTATTCTTCAGTCTCTGTCTTGATAAATTTCCAAATGTATAGGTTTTGCCAGTTTTTTCAACTAGTTTGTCTTTTTGGGCTGACAATACTACAGATAACTCTGGCTTCTGGCTAACTTTACACAAAAAATGCACTGTAAATTCATGCTGAGATCTTGGCAGGCAAA